ATTCAAACTTTACTTTTCATACAAACAAAGTTTTTACCAGAACCAACCAATCCTATCACGTTATTAAAACTTTCCAAGCTAAGCTTGGGGGTCTTGTTTCTGATAGTATAGAAGGACAGAGTTTGCACCTCCATTGTTCCCCTTCTCAATTCAGCAAAAGGGTTTTACAACCACTTTTGAGTCTTACAACGCCATCGAAATGCACACTTGGGGGTCCAATCCAATGTCTAATCCTCCCAAACCAACCCAAAAACTTAAAAAAAATCTGCTTTTTTGGCCTTGATCATTTGAACCCGCTCAAAGTTGTGTAAAACGGAATGCCACGCGCAACTGTAAGAATTAGGTTTATGTTATAATGATCAGGTCAGCCCAAAATCCAAATTCATTGATGTTTCTGCCTTCTTCATACTCCATTGAGAAAAAAGTCAGTCTCAAACTTTCTCAGTGTATATTGCAACCTTAGTTTTATCAGCGGTGGGCCGCTACGCTTTTGGCCCAAAAAGTATAGTGTAGTCGCGCTTTTTTTGCACCAAAAGTGGAAAGAATTTGGAAACTAAAGGTTTTTATTTCTTTATAAGTCATCTTTTCTTATAATAGAAAATACAATAAATTCAATATAATAAGAAAAGGGGCTTGGTCAAACAACTCCCAAAAACTGGAGAGCCGACTCCCAAGCCCCGGATTACCCACAAAATGGGAGTCAAACCCCCAAAACCTTTGACTGGTTTGGGAGTCGACTCCCTTAAAAAATAATAAAAACCCCGGTTGGTTTGGGATTCAATCCTCCCAAACCGACCAGGGTTTGGGGGTCGATGAACCAAGAGACACACGGCAGCAGCCGGGAGGATTCCTACCGGCCGCTGACAATGGCCGAGAGGAATCCTCTCGGTCGCTGAGGTGTGTACACCACCTCAACGGCCGAGGCGGTTTCCATCGGCCGTTGAGAGTGTATACCCTCAACAGTCAATGAGAAACGCCTCAGCTGTTGAGGTGGTGTACACACCTCAGGTGCGTTGATAAACGCCCGCCCGCCCACGCCCACGCCCCTCCAAAAGGGGCGTGCCATTGCACCCGCCCGTCTCTGAGGGGCGAGGGTTGATCGCACCCCCCTCGGAAGCCTGATCTTCCGATGAATCAGGCTTCCGAGGGGCGTGCGATCAAACCTGCCCCTCAGAGACGGGCGGGTGCAATTGCATGCCAACCGCCCAAGAGGTCATGGCAGGCTGACGTAAGCAAAACACTCTGGAGTGTTTTGCTTTTGTCAGCGCGCCGATGACTCTTGGCCTTCCAGACCTGTACAGTCTTCATGGCCGGGAGGAAATCCCTCCTGGCCTTTGAGACTTGTACAGTCTCGAAGACCGGGAGAATCCTCCCGGCTATCAAGACTGTACAAGTCTCATTAGCCGGGAGGGATTCTTCCCGGTCTTTGAGACTTGTACAGTCTTGAAGACCGGGAGAATCCTTTCCCTTCATCTCCTAACTGGCTGCACAAACGCGCCGCATAGCCGGGAGGGATTCTCCCGGTCTTCAAGACTGTACAAGTCTTGAAGACCGGGAGGAATCCCTCCCAGCCATCAAGACTGTACCCCAGCTAGTACAAGTCTCGATAGCTGGGAGGGGGTTCCTCCCGGTCTTCGAGACTTGTACAGTCTCGATGGCTGGGAGGGATTCCTCCTGGCCTTCGAGACTTGTACAGTCTCCAAGACCGGGCGGAATCCCTCCCGGCTATTGAGACTGTACAAGTCTCGATGGCCGAGAGGGATTCCTCCTGGCCCTCCAGGCCAGGCGCGCAGGCCAACCCCCATTTTTTGGGCGGGTTGTACTGCACACCCCTCTTGTTGCAAATGTCAGCAAACCGAGGGGTGTGTAGCAAAACCCGCCCAAAAAGAAGGGCGGGTCTTACTTCCTGCCCCTTTTGGAGGGGCGGGGGTGTGGGCGGGCGGGTGTTTATCAATGCACACACCTCAGCGACCAAGAGGATTCCTCTTGGCCGTTGAGGGTATACACTCTCAACGGCCGGTGGAAACTGCCTCAGATGTTGAGGTGTACACACTTCAACAACCAAGGGTACACTTGACGGCCGCCGAGGTGTGCACTGAGAGAAACCCTTGGCTGCTGAATGCACTCCTCAACGGCTGAGAGCTGCCTCCCGGCCGTGGAAAGTGTACACCTCGACGGCCCAGGTGGTTTCCCTAAGACGTGGAGAGTGTACACCTCGATGGGCGAGGTGGTTTCCCCTGACCATTCAGAGTGTATACCCTCAACGGCCAAGAGGAATCCTCTTGGCCGCTGAGGTGTGTACACCACTTCAACGTCTGAGGCGGTTCTCATTGACTGTTGAGGGTATACACTCTCAACGGCCAATGGAAACCGCCTCGGCTGTTGAGGTGTACACTCTCCCGGCTGAGGGGTAAACTCTTGGCGGTTGTCAGCGGTCGGGAGGAATCCTCCCGGCCGCTGCCGTGTGTCTCTTGGTTCATCGACCCCAAACCCTGGTTGGTTTGGGAGGATTGACTCCCAAACCAACTGGGGTTTTTATCATTTTTTATTATTTTTTAGGGAGTCAACTCCCAAACCAGTCAAAGGTTTTGGGGGTTTGACTCCCATTTTTTCGGGGAATCCGGGGCTTGGGAGTCGGCTCTCCAGTTTTTGGGAGTCATTTGACCAAGCCCCTAAGAAAATACTTTTACCTAAAGGCAGAATATAATCTGAACTAGGTAAGATAAAGATATAATAATGATAATATAGACTTGATAATAGAGTGCTAAGACTTCCTTGGATAATCATAGATTAATAATCTATATTTTTAAATAAAAGAATATTAAATCAGTTCTAACAATCTATTTTTCTTCTTGAATAACAAATCTTTTGATAAAGAAAATGACTATACTCGTTAGTGAGACCGAGTTAATTCTTTTATTGATTGTTGTATGCTTTATTCAATTGACAATACTGTATTATGAGTAATAAATAATCAATGTTATTTGTTATTTGTTATTCTTTTTCTTTTAAATAAAAGAAAGGCTATGACACTCACCAATAGACGGTGAGGAGATTCTGTTGATAAGCGTAATTGACAAGTTGAGTTTGTTTGAGCTAATGATGATTTTTGTTCAAGTGAATAGAGTGATTGTTAGCAATCATTCTGTCTACTTGATTTCCAACATTGAGACTCACCTAGAGCTCAATGATTGACAATCACCATCATTTAGACTCATGACGTCATTGACATCATTCTCTTTTTCATAAGCTTGTTGCTTGATTGTACTGCTGCATAGTTTATGCTCTTTACATGATTGAATAAACATGATCAGTATACAGTTTTAGTTTTCTAGGTAGCTTACATTCTAAGTGTAAAGCTTACCTGATGCTCTCCTCTTGCGAGGGCTAGAATTAAGAATGAAATTCCAACAAAAATATGTAGTGTTAGCATTTTTTCAGTAAATTTTTGCTATGCTACACTGCACTACAGGGCCAAAAATCTGCTAACCAGTGTGTTAGCATGGGTTAGTGGGCCCTTTTCTGCGGCCTATGGGCGTAGTGTTAGTGCAAGATGTGGTGGAATTCCCCTACGCTACGCTAAAGTTTAGCGGAATTCCGCTACACTACGGTTAGTGTAACTGGCCCACCATTGGTTTTATGTATTCACAAGGAGATATGAAAAATGTTGAAATCTGAACTCAATGACTTGGGAGAGGAGGTTTGAACGGACTCAGAGAACACTTTTGATTGGACAAAAAAGTGGTCAGAACTCAGCTCAATGACTTGGGAGAGGAGGTTTGAACGGACTCAGAGAACACTTTTGATTGGACAAAAAAGTGGTCGAGGAGAACCGATAGTTTTTGATTTCTTGTACTAGGCTAGGTTAAAATAGACTAGGTACAAGGGTTTGAGTTGTGGTTGTGAACCAGATGAATAAAAAAGAAATTGAATAGAAGTAAAAAAGAACAATCAAGAGAGAACAGGAGGGTACGACAACAAACACCAGGAATGGAGTATCTCCAACCAAGAAGATAAGCAAACATTACTGAGAGAAAATAAGCCCTCCTTGATCAGGGTTCTATGACTACAAGTCAGGGGGTCAGATTTCATAACAAAATGATGAGACAGACTATAATGGGGGAGAACTCATAGCGGTGAAGGAGTAGATCCAAGTGATCACTAAGATTGAGATTGAGGCAGAAGTAAGAAAAGTGGAAGAAAGGAAGGGAACAGAGAGGAAATTCCAACAAAAAATTATGATAGGTTGTACCAATTACTCTCATCAATTTCATGGACTGATGGTGTCCTGTCAGATCCACATTTGTCTCAGAATTTTCCAAGGATCATTTGAAAACCAAAACTCAATATAAAGCTAATCCTGTCAATCTGTGATTCATTTTCCTGGTTCCAACTTGTCTATGTAGATGGCCAGTGCCTCAGCCTGTCTCCTTTTGTCTCCTCTCTGTTCAGATGAGAACAAGTTAAAATTCTTCCCCTCTTCTCGAGGTAGAACTGTCAGTATGCGTCTCACTTGTGATATAAGCACCCACTCAGGTCATGAGTTGGCAAATGCCGTCATCAAGGTCTTTTGACCAGGGTGATGTCTCTTGAGAAATTCTTGAGCATTTCTGCGCTGTGCGATGTCAACTGCATGTGTAAGCTGCATCGCGAGGGAAGGGCCGGTTATCAATCAGGTGGCGGGGAGGTGAGTACATATTTAGAACAGAAGAAATAACGCGGATCACATGTCAGGTAAATATGTAAGCTTTTGGATCGCTAAGCGCTGAGGTAATTAATCTATGTCGGGCAAAATGCAGTTTATGATGTTGATGATGTTTTGTAAGTAAGGAGCGTCGATCGATGGAAGGGGCATGGTATAGCCTTCGTGTTGCTGTGAGTTGAGCCTTTCGGGCATCAAGTTGAGTGAGAGTCAGAAAGTGGCCAGATTGAAATATTGGACCAAGTTCTGGTTTCCAGCTGCTCGTATTAATCATCATCGTTGGTCAGAACAAGATCCAAAAAGAACTTGTTTATGTATTCCATAAATTTCTATCATCTTTTCAAGGGCTGCGCGAGTTCGCCGACGAGACGACATGGGAAGTGCTGTTCTCGTGAATCGACTGTAGATTGCGAAGTCTCCAATCAGCTGATCAGCCGGCAGTACCTGGTGAGCGAATGGGTCATTGGGTACCCCATTTATTCCTTCTCCTTGGTTCTTTCTGGCGCAAGTTATAACCCCCCGCACTGTTTCGGCGTGCAAGCTTATAAGCCGACCAACTCGACAGTGACATCCAAGTCCCAGTAAAGATTGATATTCTTCTGTCGGCCTCCTCTGCTCAAATACCACAGCCCAGAAGCTCCTTTTCTGGTGGGCTAATTTCCGCACGATTGGTGGGATCTGAAGTCAGGTAAGCCCGAATGGGTTTTCTACAGATGTTGTATGCCATCATTACCAGCCAGAGTGATCAAGGTTCAGAAGTAAAGCCGTCAGTCCACTACATACCTACACTCAGCCTAGACTCCATCAGCCAGCCCATCTCTCGCCGCGCTGAGATGAGAGGACTCTCCTATTCGAAGTTCAATTCATCGATCCCAAGGCTCAGCCTCTACCCTCTCTTGCCAATTTGTATAGCCTATGTATACCTGCTCCCTATATGTATGGACACACCAACTGTTGCAAAACATGTTGTGTATTTGTACCGGTGTCGTGTTCCACCAGTCTTACCCATTTATTTCTTTACAACTTGATTTTTAGTGGATGCAGGACAACAACACAGATGAGTGTTGTACATACACTCCAAAGGACTGGCTTGAGACTGGCTGTCTGGGGGCTGTCTGATGGTGGGAGTGTGTATGAGAAAAGGCTATATAAATGCATACTAGGAATGAATTATCGAGGGCGAAATGCATTATATTATCAATCGACTGTTGTAGTAGCAAAAATCGAGCAACTTCTACGCTGCTTTCTTTGTTTGGATGGTGTGGGCACTCATGGAAGTTCACCGTCTGTCTGTCTGAGTCTGAAGCCAGATGTGGACTCCGGCTCGTTCAAATCCCAGCTTCCTTCATCTCCCTCTCCTCCAGCAGGCTTCCTTCCATCTCCCCCGGCTCCTGGTTGCTACGCGCTCCTACACTTGCTTAACGCTTCCTGACGTGTTTCAAGCTGCCTTCCGAGTCTGTCTTGGATAAGATCACTCGAATATCTATCATACACCAGCATCCTACATATTTAATAATATTCACCAAAATCATAATAATAATAATCGATACATACTGACATCATCTCAACCTCGTCAAACCACCCCGTCTGGCTCAGCAATCGATGGCCACTTAGTTTCGCGACAGTGTTTGAGGTTCGTTAGCTCCCGCTGCCCGAGCAATCCAACGAGTTCCATCTACCTCCGACTCGAGCTCGCGTTTCAACCGGGCCGCCAAGCATCATCCCCATCTGGACTCCAGTCTCCTCGGCAGAACCGTGCTTCATCCTTCCCCAGAGCAAGTCTGCAAGAGCTCTAACCCTACAGGACATTTAATATCATCCCCCCCCTCCCCCCTTTCCCTTTCCTTCCACCCTAACGCTCTGTGGATTATCATTATTACATCACCAAGGCTGCTTCCAAATCTTTCGAAGTTTCTCCGAAGGTACCGAGAGAATAAGAAGCTACCCCCGGTCATTCCCTATCTAAAAATAAATATATTATTGCCACCTTACCTTAACCCATCGTTTTGTCTTGCGGTCTGCGGGAAGCACCATACATAGAAATTTACACGGCGCCCTAATTTGACCCCCCACCTCCAATAATTCAGAAAACACAGTTAGATTCAATCGCCGAAATAATCCGTCTCGCTGCCCTACTTTATTTCCTGGTACCACCAGCTTGAAAACTCTCGACTTGGGTGGTGCTTCCATCGAGCTTCCCCCAACTTGGTCTGTGTTCAGCGGGGGTTGTCCTATCAGCAGAACTGTTTTGCTCAGCTCTTTCATTTATTATGTAAGTATTTCTCCATCTTCAAAGCTTTCGTACATCACCACTGTTCCAATTCAAACTGTCCCCTCCCTCTTCCTTAACCCATTCCAGCACGTCCAAGCTAGTTGAGATCCCTTCAAGGCACCTTTCCCTTGTACCCCTCAGCGTCCAACCAGCCTGTTGTGCGCTTGGACCACAGGCTCCTTTGGTCCTCCTACACTCCCATCAACTGAGCACCCCAGTCCTAGTGCCTTTTACTGTGCTCTCTCTAGTCCTTCCATTTAGTAACACCTCATCCTCGTCCGTAGTCAATCGTCAAAGTACGTAGCAGCCTTGTCTATCTTTCTAACCAACCAGCCTTTGCACTGCCTTCTTTCTGACTGCGCGTTCAAACAGTCCTCTTTGTGTGCGGTGTACTTATGACGTTCACATCTTTCTTTCTCTAGTTCCAGTATCCTCGTCAAGGTTGCACCAAACATCAACCTTAGTCTACCTCATCTCCCCTCCTCAAGCCCCGCGTGAATACTCTTTACACCAGTTATAATCATTTTATTCTTTTTTTTGGCTGGACATCCTTCAGCTCAAGTCTGTCCAAGTGACCGCACCGTCCCCTTCTCCTCTTCGCCCCGGCCCACATTGGTTCAGATTTTCAGAAAAAAAGATTTTCCTAACCGACCCAGGCAGATTTTGCCCCCTTCAACAACTCTGCAAGTCAAGCACTCCAGGTGTTTTGATTGGTTCATCAACCCACCAATCCCGCTCTGCCCATCCACTCTCCTCCATCAACCCCTTCCAATCAGGATCATCATTAACTACTCCATCGCATTCTACCTAAAAAACTGATTCGCTATGACAATGTTGCTACCCGTTCAGCTACACATCTCGTGAGTACCTACCATCCCTTCCTACAATCAACGCCACGTGGTGTTGTTTGCACTTGCACCTTCTTATGATCTGACCCCAATTCCCGTATTAATGCCTACTTTTCTTTTGCATCCATTCAGGCTTAATGCGAGACTATTCAAGATATTCAACCTAAGAGAGCATCGTGCTTTCACTATCTCACATCTCAGGAAGGCCCTTGGCACTGCGTTTCACATATCCCCAGACAAAATTCGCTTCAACCGTAAGCCCCCTCTCCATCTCACAAGAATTCGTGCATTTTTACCAACCAGAACCTCTTGCGTTGGATTTCTAGTCGTCTCAGGCCGTTACACTCGGGACACAGATCCATTATTCGACCTGAGAGCTAGTGATGGCAACTCGGCCTCGCTGGATGTCGAGCTTCCGCCAGCTTACGTGCACTCGTCGCTTTCGAACGGCGTAATCAGTGTACGATTTCTGTCGAACGTTTGTCCGGCGGCATCGCAGGATGTTTTGTGCGAAGGCGTTGTCGAGGTCCAACTCTCGACCCCTATTCCCTCCGGCACGCTGCCCTCCAGTTCCACCGCACCCGCTCCTTTCTCAGTGGAGGAATTGAGTCGAGAGCAGCGCATCGCTCTCCGAGCTCAGCTCGAAGACCCTTTCAGCATCGCTTCAAAGTCTTGCTTTGAAGATGACAGCGACGATGATGAAGATTATGAAGACGTCAACGATGATTTGGACAGCGATGTGGATGATGATCTCTACAGTGATGATGGCGAAGCCGTATTCGAGTCTGCATCCAGCGACTCGGATTGCTCTTCAACCCCATCCTCCGTACTGAGCTCACCCGTCACATCGGTAAGACCATTTGGCCACTTTTCTTCAAACTGTACTAGATAACTAATTTTTTGATGTCTGTTTAGCCAATATCCTCCTCCTTCTGGCCATCTGATCCCAACAAGCTTAGCGCTGGTCATTTGCGCCACCTGGTATGCCCTTTCTCCTGACACACTAAGTCTTCTCAGCAGATCAGATTGTTCTGATTTCCAGCATCATTTGCACAGCTTTCAATTACCACACCGCGGGACTCTCGGAAAGAGGCCACTCTCCGAGTGAGCTTCCTGCGCTACAGATTCCAGCGAATGATTCTTGAGCGATTACAAGACGGCCCTACCCCAATCCCTAGCAACCCATTGGAAAACCTTAAATTGACACCAGCAATCCAGACTTGCCCCGTCTCAACCTCTGCAACAACTGTCTCAACCAAGGCATTGTCGGCAGCTTCCACCACGGATACCTTCCACCTCACCTCACGTTGATCTGATTTTTTCGGCCACGTTTCCATTCCATCGATCTCCCCCCTCTCAAAGCTTGCTTTCTTGAGCTTTCGCTTCCAACATTCGACTGAAGGCCGCTGGCTTTCGTCGTCTCAGCGATCATAGACCGTCCCACTGTCCAGTTCCCGCTTATGAAGGTTATCCACCCCACATCGGTGTCATTCGCTTGCTCACTCCTTTTTTCGAGTCACCCCACCTTTGTGTTTGGCTATGCTCCTCCTGGATTCGCTTTTTTTCTTCCATAGCACTTTTCCTTGCATATCAGCTGTAAATCATCCACCGTCCGTCTCTTGTCGTTTTTTCCTCAAGGTTCTTCTTACTTCACTTCATACCTGTATACATACCTCATGCGGATCTTTCGGTCGCTGTTTCATTCACACTCGTTGTTGTTCGTTTTTCAGATGATCCTTGTTGTATATTTCGTTCTCATTGGATCGTCGTTCTTTCTTTTTGCTTCTCTCTCTCTTCATTTGGGACTCTTCTTTAAAGCATTATCTACATAGCAACTCTACCTATTACTTTTCTAATGACACTCACTTGCATCGCTCTTGTCTATCTTTAAACACTGTACTTATCTTGTACTTCACATTATCAGCCTTTCGGTTTTTTTTTCTTCTTTTTTTCCCTTCTCTCAGCAGTTTTGTGTAGTTTGCTCTAGTCCTTCGTTGACCTCACACGTCCCAAAGAAATGATCAAATCATTAACAATATCCGTATCTATTTATCGACTTGGTGAACAGGAGTGAACGTGTACTTTTTCTGTGTCTTTCAAGGTGCATCAGCTGAATCAAATAAGCTGAGTCTGTGAAGACCACTTGAATTTGGAATGGCCAAGACTCTTGGCACCCTGCGGCGTGACATCAACCCAGCCCCTTTCCATGATAATTCTGTGACCAATTCCCCTGCGCACACGAAAGCCAGACAAATATAACCACTTGAGTCCCTGACTGGCATCCAGGTAGATCCTCAATTTCAGACAATAGCTTTCCTCCAACAAAACCACTCTCACGCTATGTAACTTGTGAAGATTGAAGATTATGACTGCCACGTTCCCTGGGTTATCCGGTGCCCAATTCTCACTACGCAATCTGCCTTGTCGCGTGGGGATTCACTATCTAAATAGGTAGAGACAGGTATGGAGAGACTCGATTAAGCCTTTATCGTATAGCTGTTCGAGCTAACCTTTTCTCATGAGCTCGATTGCTTGTGAAGCCCGAGCCCCGCGTGTTACATTCACACGTAAATACACCCGCACATATATCTTCCCGGCTGCTACATTTTGTGATGATCCTGGTCGAAATGTTTTTCCACTCGAGGATCCGATTCTTTTATCGCTTGCTCGGGCAGGGAATCAGGTCCTGGCGTATGGTTTGATCGGATAGATACATGCATTCGGATAAAAAACTTCTAGGGCTGAGCTGTGTTGGCAGTTGGCTATCTTTCATCAATGCTTTATAAGCCCTACATTTGACAGAAAGTCAAATACATGATGGCTTCCGGGCGAATGGAACATAAGTCGCTCCTACTTTGGAGCCCCTCTTGGCGTGGGCGATTCCACAGATTTTTGTTGGGCTTTGAAATTTTCCAACGGACACATCATGAATTGTTCTTTGATTTATCCCGAACCGGGCATCTCGTCGCATGGACAGATGTTGAAAAATGAGAGAGGTGTATAAATTAAGAGATGATCAAACAAAACCTTGAAAGCATTCGATGCCCACTCGCAGTTATTTTGAGAATGGGATGAAAGAAAACAACGATGCCATGATTTAAATAGATGTTTTTGGACTACGTTTAACAGTGATCAAAATTCAAAAGTTCAAGACATCCAGTGGACTGGAACGCGTCAACAGAAAATCATTGAGATCTAGAACAAACCAGTTAACAAGTCAGCCTCAATTCTATTGCTTTTCTTACGAAACGTTTTTCGATGAATGTGGTAGGAAATTACCATTGTCGAGGTGGCAACGCTGGGTTTGTTAGACTTTGATTGAGCCATGAAGGCGGATAGGTTTCAGAAGATGGGGGAACTTTGTAGGTTATGCGGGTCTTGGCACAACCATAACAATCTGTATGGAAGTTATGGAAAGTAAGAAAAATTAACTGATGGCCCTTTGAATCCAGACTTTCACACTCTTGCTCAGAACAAGAGAAGCCCCATGTGGAGCCGTGCGGTGGACCAACAAATGTAAAGCTGCTTACATGTGTAACCCGTCGTATCGCCCTTGCAAGAAAATCCTTTGCTTTCGGTGAGACAAGCTTTGATAGAGAGAAGAGGTTTCAAATATCAGTTTTTGAAGCTTATAAGAGTTCGATCATCCTTACTACAGACGCTCAGCCACTAGGACTCACCTTTAGCGGCAGCTGTGTCCCTGCCAAAACCAACGGTACAAACTTGAGTCCCGGGAAGATCTGTCGGAGCAGCTGAGCCATCATTTGGTAGACATCCTTGAGCAACTGAAAATAAAAAAGTACCCCAGTTTATAATTAGTAATTGACAAACAAATTTTTAACAGCAGTTTCTCTGATATTCAATCTTAATGGGACTCAGAGATTGACTTACCGACGAAACTATCGCGACAGCCTTTGGTACAAATCATATCCGGAATGTCGTTGCAAGCTGAAGTGCCATCATAAAGAAGAAAAAAAAGTGGGGGATTATTCATAGATTTAATCTTCCTAGGACCTCATTCGCAATTTACTGTGACTTACTTGCAGTGTCAGTGTTTGCGCCGGTGTAGGTCATACATTGCTTGGGTCCATCGTTGTCTGTTGTCACTGTCGCGGCAGAAAAGGCCTGGCCGATCAGAGCAACTAGGATAGAAGCGGCGAGTGAAAATGTTGAACGCATGGCGCTTGGAGTGGATCTGATTTCCAGAGGGTGGATGAACTTTGGATTTGCGGAAAGCACAAAGGATGGACGAACATTCCAGGGGACACAAGTTGGAGGTATATAAGCCGATGGAATTTGCACATGGGACACTCACCCATAGGCATCCAGCTGGTGATCAGGACTCAGGAGTACAAAGATTAGCACCATGCAGCGGGCATGCCACTGCCACCGGGTTGATCGGCCGGGCCGAGGCTCGAGGGGATGCAGTTGTGGGGTTTGCTCTCAACCGCAGTTGAACATCCGTCACGCTTCAAGATCACATGATGATGGCCGTCTCCGTATGGTACAGGCGGATCATTGAATCCGGCATCATTAACCTATCGCTCCCCACTAGAGAATCCTCAAGCTCAAATGCACACTATAACACTGCATTGCCTGTCCTCATAGCCTTGCGTTGAACACCGGCTGGGCTGCCGAGGGAAATTGCAAAGCGAATCTGACTTGTTAAACAACTTGGACATCTAAAAAGAAGTCTTGTGCACCGCGCAGTCCCCCACCACCAGGGTACATATCTGATCTGCATCAGCAGCATACATTTTCCCACTAGCAGTCTTTCAGTTCCAAGTGTCCTTACTCTTAGTACTGTTACAAGCACTGTGGTTAGTACACTTGATAAATGATGCCTCACAACATCTGGATTGGAGGGTCCCTTGTGAGGATGCAGGGATTTCATATGCTGTTTTAACTGTTTTTGACATAATTGGAAGACTTGCCATCACCTAAAATGCTTGATTTAGAAGGGGGTCCTAATCCCTGTTGGCTGCTTACCAGCAAATCATGCTTAGGACTATCTTCTAAATTTACAAATTTAGACCATGGGAAGTCCTCCATTTTCTTGTCAAAAAAAAAGAATCAGAATCCTCAATGGGGGATTATTTGTGATGATTCATGAAGCAAGCAGATAAGCAATGGTGAAACTAATTCAACCCAATACATTTATTTGTATTCTTATCGCATCAAAAAACAAATAGTTTACAAATGGATCAAAACTTTTGTTGGAATTTCACTTGTTCTCCATGTGCCTGCCTTACTATTTCATTTACCTGTCCACTGATTGTTATTCATTTTTTTTTCTCAGAGTTTTGCTCCCAGTATTTAAATGATTTGTATTGTCTAGATACCTCTACATGAAAATTGTCAGTTCTGATTATGATTGATCCTGAGGCAACACTTAATCCTCCCCTCAGTCTTACATCAAGGGCAATTTAGCCCACTCAAATAAGTATCTTAGACCTTGTCTACTCTTGGCTATAGAGCCACTTTATTTCCCTATCCTTCTTTATATTAACAACTCTGGTATCTGATCATCAATACAGCTCAATAAAAAACTACTGTACTGTGTCTCTTTGTATCTTTTAAATTGGCTGTTGAATACAGTCCCAATTGGCCAAAAGATGTGTAGTATTTCTTTGATACAGCCATTCCGAAAGAGCTTGCATTTGTGTGAGCCCATTTTCTTTCTTTAATATTGCCACCAAAGAATACAGAACTTTATATCTTACACATTTTCTGACAAAAATGAAACATTTTCATTTCTACCTTTCCTGTCCCAGAAGTTGTGCCATTATACTCCTGGTGAGAATTTGAGTAAGAACTGGCCATTGCTAGCCGGACAATGAGCTCAACTGTGTGGTCTTGTAGGCAAATGGCATTGGAAAAGCAACAATGGGTCATTTATTCTGACTGTAGCATAGCACAATTCTGCTAAAATTTAGTCTAGTGCAGCAGAATTCTGCCTCAACTGCAGTAACGCTACACCCGCAGTCCACAAAAAAAAGGCCCACTATGCTGTGCTACAGGGAATTTTAGCATTTTTTTGGCTGTTGTTGCCACTAAAAGAGCTGTAACACAGCATAGTGGGACTACCAGCATGTCAATACTACAGTGTTGGTGCGCTGTTTTGAGGGCTGATACACTAACTTTAGTGGGCTGTTTATCAGAGGATAGAATCACGGCCCATTGCTGGGAACAGGCCTGGGAGGAAATTTTGTCAGGCTGTACAGCACCTGTTGCTGAAAAATAGGGCTTACAATAGTGCAAGCTTTCTTGGAATGGTTTTAAAATACAATTGCACAGTCTCTGGGCTTATAAACAATAAACAATAAAAATTGTTTGAGCATCAGAAAAATAATACAACACAAAAATATCTGCTTATGCTGTATCAGATTGTATCTGCTTTAACATTGAGATAAGGACCTCTGATACTGTTCTCAAGATTGCTACAAAATATTCAGAGTGGTGAGGATAAACCTTGACATTTATCTCTTACCAACCAAGTGTGGGAATGATGATGGAAAAATTATCTGCATTGTTTTTAATTAAATAAAATTGTTTCTTTAACTTTGGTTTTTGGATAAATTTCCAGAAGACAGAGGGAAAGACTTTATTTTAGACAAGAAAGGAAAGGCAAGATAATGCAGACTTGAAATTTAGGTTTCCAACAGGTCAGGTTTGGGTCAAAAAGCAGTGCCCAAGACTGAATCAACAGTGGAAAAAGGTTGGGCCAAAATAAGATACAGGCTGACTGAAAGGAGGGGCCAGAAAAATGTAGGCAACCCAAAAATACAGAAACATCATGTTGAAATGACACCTGATTTGGTAAGGATGACACATCTTATTGCAATCAATGTGAATGGGATGCTACACTTTTTGCCCAGCATAGAATTTTTCTTTCACAGAAATCATGTAGTTTTAACAAAAAGAAAGCACTATTTTGTTCTACACTATGCTGTGCTGCAGGTCACTAACAACCACCACAGGGCCAAAATGCTTATAAACAGTGTGTTAGAGAAGCATAGCAGACACTTTTTGGGGGCCTGAACACATAGTGTTAGTGCGGACATGGTGGAATTCAGCTTCACTACACTAAGCTTTAGTGAAATTCCACTGTGTTAAACCACACTAACACAATGTTTACTGTAACTGGTCCGCCTTTGTGGGAATTTATCCAGATCAAGTTTTGTCTGTATGTAGATGGTTGCATCAGATTCAGATGCTTCAAATGTGCAGAGAAGTTGAGATAGCCGTTGTTTTTATTTAACTAACTAGGCAAATTGGAGTGATGGGGAAGGGCATGGCCTCCAAAATTTCTATTTGAAAATGTGTCTTTCTATTTCTGATCCCTCATATACACCATGGCCACATGTCAGGCCTCCTGGAATCGGAAAAAATCTGCCCCCCCCCCAGAGGAGGTCGCCTTTTTCCACTCTGGAGGTGGAGAAAATTTGCTTGCCATAGAGACTTCTGGGGAGGCAGTCTTTTTCCACTCTTGAAAGTGGAAAAAAGTTGACCTCCTGATCTGGGGGGTGCAGATTTTTTCCACCTCCAGAGCAGAAAAATATTGACTGCCTCTCTTTCAAGAGTAGAAAAAAAAAACAGTGACCACAGGGATTTCAGTACAGTAACTGAGCCCCTGACTTTTTATGGCTTCAGAATGAGGGCTACCCCCAAATCCAAAGGTGTGATAGTTGAGAAGGCACATTTGGCATGCCTGCATTGACCTTGATGGCTTCCCAATGGTGTTGACAGGAGTTCAAGCCTTGGCTAAATTGTTTTAGGAGTCACTGCTCCTCCTTCAGCGGCCTAACCCATTGCTTTTGAAGAGGGATCAGGCTTCCAGCCGGAAAACTTCTGTCTACGGAACAAATGGGGGTGGGGGGTGGGTGTAACCTCGCTGTTTCCCCGCTCCTCCAGTCCAAAAATATCCGGCTAGGCAATGGTGGTCAGTCAGGCACGTCCCCCCTTGCAGAGGGGGCCCTCGGAAAATTTCCGGCTGGCGAGGCTGTCTCTGTGATGGAATCTGAATCTCCGGTGTTGGTTGTCAAGTTGACGTCGCGAAGAGCGAGACGGAGGAGTCTGGTGCGCAGAGCGTGGGAGTTTCTATGAATATGCAAAACTGTGATGATGACCCGAGCAACACAACCTCGTCATCACCCCACTACCACTACCACTACCACTACCACCCTCAAGAACACAAGGGCAAGTACCAGACTATCGAGCTTCAAAACAGGTCTTCAACGAGGAGTCTGCGATTCCCTGCCCAAAAATACGACGCACGCACATCATGAACTTTCTCCTTAGCTGCAAAAACTTGGCCGCCTTGACGGTCTTGATCGGTTCAGTCTCAAGTTTATTGACACCAGAGAAGCTTGAAATTAGTGCTGCTTTCCCTACAAACAATCAATTCGGAATTGTCTTTAATGGGCAACCCAACAAAATTCTGCAAGTATTCCTCTCTCGGTTCACTTTTAATGATTTTATATGGATAAAAATGGAACAAAAATAATAACCCTGAAATCTAGTATTTAGTCTGAAGGTCCTTAACTTAGGTAAAGATCCAGTCGAAGATGTGATGAGAATTCATCAAGTATGGAACGAGTTTCGAGAAATCGGTGGCAAGGAGCGATTACTGAGAAAAGTAAGCTTCCATTCCCGCAGTCTGCCTAATTGTCTCCTAGCGATCTATCAGAGCTGAATACTGTTGGCTTCGTCGAATGAATTTTACTGATCAATGCATTGTGTATCTCGGCTGCAGGGAGCTCCAGTACCTTCGAAGAGAACGCTACCTCCAAAGATTGAGCCGTATATCATACCTTACATGTTCAGTGCCGAGGAAAGAGAAGGCAACATCGGTCTAAGGATTTGGGTTGAGTGGAGTGGCCCTAAAGGGAAAAAGCACCAATCGATAGCCTACGATTCAACCGTCACAATTCAGGAGCCTCCTACGCGGTGGTTTGATCCGCAGCTGTATGTCGTCTTTACAATGCAATCAGTCTTGAGTTTCACATTGTCCAAAGCTTTCTTGACTGAACTTTACTTGCGATATCACAATTGTAGAATTCTACTTTACATCATTTTGGCATCCACATTCGGTGGGATCGGATATATGGTTTACAGCTCTTACGTCGTCCCCGTCAAACCAGCTCGCTCGTTGAAGTCCAAGCGCTCTGCAGAAGGTTCTCTCCAATCCAGCTCAAAAGTCTCTACTCCGACCGGCGGTGCGTACGAGGAAGAATGGATTCCTGCGGGCCATTCTGTTCGATCTTCTAAAAAAACAGGGACTGAGACCGGCGGTGAGGAGAGTAGTGGTGCCGAAGGAAAAGCTCGCAGGCGGAAACGTTAATCGTTCTAACGCTGGAAAAACAATCAATCTCACCAACTATACTAAAGCTCAAAACATTTTAAATAGATAGAAATTGGAATCATTTGAGATATGTTCATACTTTTTTTTTGAGAGAAAGATATATAAAGAAAAAAAAAAACATAAATACCTACAAAATACATCTGGTGTGAGCTCCTATAAAATCCCCAATTAAGATTTCAAATGGATGGGTTATCAAGCTTCTTGAGTATCAAAGGTTGAAGCCACTTCATTTCTCACCAGTCGGGTCAATCAAATATCAATATCCTCCTGTCACCTAATGCACTAATGCTAAATCGGGAAAATCGTTTAACAACGTTGGCTGGCCAATGAAGCCACCCACCAAGCAGCCAGTATCAAACAGACCAACATGTCCAACTTGTCTGACCAAAAGGAAGGGATATTGCGAATCTGTTGTATAATCATTTCCTTGGGGTTTGCCAGTATGAGTCTTCAACATATTTATCCTTACATCTATCCCACTTCGTTTTAGATCCATTCTACTGATGAAAGAAAATAATATCAATTCTTCAGTTCTGGATGCATCCGTCTTTTTAGGGTGCCCGTGAGTTTTCCTTCCGATCCCCCGGGGGGTTCTCCCCTCACGCCGATTGCTTTGACCAACTTAGCTCGGCTGGCTCCCGCCCGCCTCCGTCCTCTCGGCATCTGACCATATATTTATTTACCAAGCCTTCAAGTCCACTTTCCGTATATTACACTACCTTTCAAATCGTCAAATAAGTGGCCGCCGTGGATCTTGGTCGAAATACATATTCAACCGAAATTATCTAGAGAGGCGGATGTTGAATCGTTTCACCCATTCCGAAACTTGAAGACGAGGAGTGGTACTTCAACCCGTAAGGCACTCGATCAACGAACTCTCTTTCTTGGCGTTGAACAGTTCGATTCAAGCATCTTTCAGTCTCATGGAAATTGTGTATTTTCGGAAAACGATTCAATGAACTGATTTTGCTCACTTTTGCTCTCACCTCTACTACATAATTTATGTTTTGATCGCAGTTGTAGAATCCAAGGTGTCCGAAATGGACGCCAAACAGGCCCAATTGTTCACTTCGTCGGCCGCCTTTTCAGCCTTTGCGGCTTCGGTACTCCTGGTTAGTGATCAAATCAAAACCAGAGTTCCAGACCCTTACATGGTTTGTCAATTTTACCACCCAAGAATTCATCAAAAAAATCCAGTTGGTTCATGCTGAATAACGTTTCCTGAAATCTCTTCTTTCAAAGGATGAGATCTTTCACGTCGAACAGGCAAAAACTTACTGCGCTGGTCAATGGACAACCTGGAATAACCTGATCACCACACCACCTGGACTGTTAGTTACTCATATCACATTTATTTCTCAAATGTTGATTTAGTATTTTGTTATCCCGACTGACGTCATACCTTTCATCCCGCCTGACTGGCCTCTGTAGATATATCGTCCCTAGTTTACTCCACCAAGCCTTACCAAAATGGTTCCTGTGTTCAACCAATCATCTCCGCTGGATGAACGCTGCTCTACTCTGTGCATTTCCACTCCTCATCAGCCGGATCCTCTCCCACTTCCGAACTACTCCCTACCCTCCCAGACCGGGTGTTAAACCACGTGTAAGGTTTCTGATCCCCGAGGATGAGATTATCTTGGAAGCCATCATCATCTCCTGTTTCCCAATAACATACTTTTCTGGCTTTTTATTCTACACCGATCTCGGCTCTCTATTCGCCATCATAGCCTCGTATGATCAAAGCCTCGCCGGTCGTCATGTGCTGGCCGCTCTGGTGAGCAGGAAATTTAATTGCCTTGTCTTGCCTGTTACAAAGCGAAAGGTCTGATTTTATATTACCTTTTCCTCCCTCATTTGGGCGGAACAGCTAGGGCTATGGAGCTGTCTTTTTCGACAAACAAATATTGCATGGGTTGCCTTTATCGCCGGATCAGCCTTGATTAACCATCTACGTCAGATCAACAACACCGGCCCTTCTACCCCGAAGTGCTCACAAGTTAATCACGCCAAAAGAACGCACCGTCCCTCCCAGCCCTACGACTTATCGTTGACGAGCGCTTCTCTACGTGTGCATCCCCGATCTAGGTTTTTTATCTTCGTTATTTCTTGCTTGCTCCTGCCATATGCACCTTTCTTTGATGAGACATTGCATTCAATAAACTATGATACTCGATTTTGAGCTCAAGCTCCTTCGTAAATGACAAGAAGAATGGTGCCTGACTTGCTTGACAACCAAAAATATTAAACAGTCGATTTACCCCGAGCAATCCGTTCACTGGTTTTTGAAAGCTTTACCAACTTCTCCAGTACCTTGCCCATAGTACTTCCATATGCTGGTGTAGTAGTTTGCTTTGTAATATTTGTTCTATGGAACGGGGGGATTGTCTTAGGTAATGTTATGTTAACTGATCTATTCTTCATGTCTTCTACGTTGTGCGACAATCATCGGCTGATTTCCGAATGACTCTTGACCCCCATCTTCTTTTTTGTTGATATTGACCGGGATTTCGACCGTGGGTGAGCCTAGGCGATAAATCAAATCACATCACGGCTCTACACATACCACAACTATACTATTTCGCAGGTTTTTCAATGGCTTTTTTGGTCCCAGTATCGTTTGACCTCTTTTTGATCAGAAGGACGCTTAAAAGTTTATTTGGTTCTCCTAGGTAACAAGCTTAATTCTTTTACGAAATTCTCTGATAGTTCTAGTGATAATGCCTTCTTTCTAATGATATGCCGAAATCGCCCTCGACCTACAGATCATTTTTCTTGAGCTGCTGCTTGTTCGTTACGATTCTGTGGACTATTCATAAATTCACGTGCGTTCTCGTAGCTGATTGCTGTTCCTGGACGCTTAAGCTGTAAATCACTATGTATTGATTGGACATTGATTTCACTTGGGTATATGTTGTTCCTTTAGATACGAGCACCCATTTCTGCTGTCTGATAACAGACATTACACATTTTACGTCTGGAGAAGAATATTCAAATTCCACCGATTAGTCAAATACTTGTTCACGCCGGGCTACATGATTTGTGTAAAGATGATATGGGAAAGAATAGGTGATGCCTTGATGTTTTTCCAATTAGATGATTTGATTGTGTGGCTCAAATTTCCAGCCTGTCCCTCCGTTCTAATGCTTCTAGCGCGATCTTTTACGATGAACCTGCTGATCACGACTTTTTACATTATCGCCTTGGGGCTCACCTTGATTCCGTCACCCTTACTCGAACCACGATATTTCCTCGTACCTTATGTATTGCTAAGATTACACATTCGACCGGTAGTCGAAGAGACCAAAACGTGGTCCATCAGGGTATTCACAGAGGGCTGTTTATACGCACTCGTCAATCTAGTCACTATTACAGTTTTTCTGTTTCGTCCGTTTAAAGGTCGGCCGGGTGAATGGGAAGGTACTTGGCAAAGGTTTATGTGGTAATCTTCATTTTCGAAAACTTGAACTATGTACCTACATATCTTTCATTTTTATGCACAAATCATTATCAGTAACTACTAAAAGCTTCCTTTTTGCTCCAGAGAAAAATTTACATCCATTGTGAAAAAGCCAAAAATTTCCAAAATAAAGGGTCACACCCTCGATAAACGATCCAGAACCGATCAAGGAGGGGAGTGCGTGCCACTCTCGGTGACCGATCCAACCCTGTCATCATCCAGGGAGTTATGCCTCCTCTCAATGGCTGTTCCCAACCGGTCATCGAGAGAAATTGACACTCGTCTCAACCTGGTCAACGAGGGAAGTATGTCCTCTTAGCCGCCGATTTGCATCGGCTATTCGATGACCATGTTGGACCGGCCGTTCTCAAGCGGAGCATATACTCGATGACCGGCCTGTGCCGGCCGAGTGGCGGCACTAGCCATTGAGAGGAGTGTACTTCTCTCAATGGATGACAGGACCGTATCACCAAACTTGATGCAAGTCCCGCGTACGGAATTTGGCAGAGGCCTTGAAACAGCAGTGGTGCCTCTGTAATTCCATTTAGCACTCTCATCATTCCTGTGGTGCTCTTTTCAGAAATGTGCCCCAGCAGATTCCTTAGGATAGATATAGAACAAGTTCTTCCATCTATCTGAGTGTGGGTGGTAATTAAATTTGTTTTATTCATTTTAGAGGCTTGGTTAATTGACTCCCCAAAATTGGAGAGCCGACTAAGGGATTGTCCCGAACCTCGGGTTTTCGGGCGATTCCCAGCCCCGGGGTCCGGGCATCGGGATGGGCTCTTGGTAAACCCCAAAAACCCGGGGTTTTTTGGAGTTTTTTTAGCAGAGATATTTTTACTTGGTTGTGGTGTATTACACGTATATTTTTTGTGAAATAATATTGATATTGATAAGAAATGAAAAGAAGAAGAAAACAAAACTAGCTAGAAGGGGCCATTGAAGGTCTGGAACCAATTCTTCAAGCACAGCAGACTCTTGATTGTCGTGGGCTTGAGAGATGATCGCTGCCATGAGACAACCCAACGACCAGTGGAAAAGACGTGTTCAGATGCAGCACTGGTGGCAGTAATCAAAAGGTACTGTTGGGCCATCAGGGAGAGTTTCCTTCTTGGTGCTGGAAGTGGGTCCAGACCCAACTGCGCTTTCCGGATACAGTCCCGCGTTAGCTAGTTTCAATTTTGTCTAGGTCAATAACCTCGGCAGTTGTTGATGGTGGAGCAATGGCCCGTTTTTCTTTTTGATTTGGAATGGGATCCGGATTTTGCTGTTTTTGCTTCATTGTCATTCACTGCTGTTGGGGGCAATTAGAGCATCTCCACCGCCGTCCCTAAATCGTGTCCCTATCCCGCATTTAGGGACCGGAGACCAAAAATCAACTCCCACCGCGGTCCCCATCCGCATCCGTATTTTACGCATTTCATCCTGGGTCCCTCTCCAGACCCTGGATCCAGGGATTGGATAGGGACCAAGGATTAGAGATCGTTCGTCGGTACCCGTTGCTAGGTACCTAGTACCGCTCGGCGGGTACCGCCCGCACCCGCCTCGCACCCGCCAGGCGGTGCCAGGTGCCGGTTTTTTGGCAAAAACAAGGTGGTACCCGGGTACCGCTGCGGGTACCGCCTTATATCCCTAACATAGGGGCATGGTCATGGAGGGGTGAAACCCTCCATGACAAAGGTTCTCTGTCATGGAGGAGTGAAACCTCCATGACTGAGGATATATCCTCGGTCATGGAGGAGTGAAACCTCCATGACTGAGTATGTATCCTCGGTCATGGAGGATTTAACTCCTCCATGACCGAGCGGCGAGGATACACCCTCGGTCATGGAGGATTTGACTCCTCCATGACCGAGCATACACCCTCGGTCATGGAGGAGTGAAACCTCCATGACTGAGTATGTATCCTTGGTCATGGAGGAGTGAAAACCTCCATGACCAAGGATACACCCTCGGTCATGGAGGATTTGACTCCTCCATGACCGAGGATACACCCTCGGTCATGGAGGATTTGACTCCTCCATGACCGAGGATACACCCTCGGTCATGGAGGAGTGAAACCTCCATGACTGGTTTCACTCCTCCATGACTAAGTATGTATCCTCGGTCATGGAGGATTTAACTCCTCCATGACCGAGGATACACACTCGGTCATGGTTTTTTTCAGCTTCTTGCTGATGTTTCTCTTATTCTATTTCTCTGTTTTTTAACTTTCCTTTTGGACTTTTATGAGCAACTTGCTGATGTTTTTTTTTTTGCTTTTTTTTAATAATTTTTTGGAACTTTTATAGGTAACTCTTGCTGCATTTTTTTCAGCACTTTGCTGATGTTTCTTTTCTGTTTTATTTTTTTTTCTTCTGGATTTTATTCTTCCAATTAGTTATTAGTTGTAGATAGATAAATATGAAAAAAAAGAAAAAAAGTGACTTGTCTGGCAGTGACAAGTGAAATCAATAATTTTCAACAAAATGAAAAAGTGACTTGCAACTCTGGGAGTGACCACCAAAAATAATAAATAAATATGAAAAAATGAAAACAAGTGACTAAAAAATGAAAAAAAAAGAATTGGGACTCTGGGAGAGAAAATAATAAATGTGAAAAAGATACAAAAAGTGAATTGGGACTGTGGGAGTGAATCTAGGTGAGAAAAAGAGGGGGGGGTACCCGCGGTACCCGCCAAAAGTACCGCCGGTACCCGCCAGGAGGTGCCTGGTGCGGTACTTGGTACCTATTTTCTGAAAAAATTCAACAGGTACCTAGGTACCAACAGGTACCCGAGTACGAACGAACGATCTCTACCAAGGATTGTGCACTCACAGCACACCTCATCGTAAATGTCACACAACATTGAACCACACCCTCATGTAACATCCTCTCAACACCACACCAATGATGGAATATTGCTTTGATTTACAGACTGCCTGGTGTGGCAGAACAAGTCTTTGAGTCCCTATCTGCATTTCCAAGTCCGTATTTTCACCTGATAGGGACCCAAATATATGGACTGCAATGGAGATGCTCTTAGGTGATGCTCCATGTGGACGACTGTCCAGTTCCACCTCCCCCTTTTTTTGCAATGGGCAGAAAGCCCCGAGTCATCAGGGCAAACCCCGCCCTTCCGGGGCTCAGTCCTTGGGATGTCCCTCCAGCCCCGTCCCAAACCCAGGGACAATCCCTTACTCCCAAACCCCGAAATTAGGGAGTCGATCCCCCAAAACCGTTGACGGGTTTGGGAGTCAACTCCCTAAAAATTTAAATAAAAATAAATAAAACCCCCCGGTTGGTTTGGGAGTCAATCCTCCCAAACTGACCAGGGTTTGGGGGTCAATGAACCAAACCAACCCCCACCCCATGGCAGTGGCCAGAAGGAATCACCGCTTGAGAGCACATTCTCGACGGCCAAGAGGGGAAACCCTCTCAGCCGTTCAGGGTATGTACACTCTCTTTGGAGGTGTTGATGTTTTGTTCTTCAAGATATATAAGATCCAACTCTGCCGCAGGAGCATTGAATTGAGAACCACCCTGGGTGCCGGCCATGTACTCCTGGAATCCAGAGATATCAGCATCAATTTTCCTCTTGTTTGTGGTGGTTGATTGAGACACAGTTGCTGGGCTGGGATTGGGTGACTGGACAAAGTGATTCCAGAGGGATAAGAGCATTCACATTTGTTGGGTTAAACTGCCAAATTACGGCAACTTAACCCGACCAGCAGTCGCATTGGCCCCGGGCTAACCTCGGGTTAACAAACCTTCAAGTCGTTTTCAGCCTGTTTCAGGCTTACGTCCGCTAAATTTAGCGGACGTTAACCTGGCAGGCTGACCCCAGGTTTAGTTAACCTGAAAATATAGCCAACAAATTCGAATGCTCTAAGAAAGCGGCATTTGAAACGGTACGCGAGTTAACCTCAAAAGGTCGGCTCCTCCCTTGTTACCGCAAATGCTGAAAAAAAGAAACACATCACACCTACTTCCTCATTATCAACCGCATTGTTTGAATAGATTGACAACTAGACGAATCCATGTTTATGTTATGAGGATTTTAAAGGTGCAGCCGAAGTACGCACAAGGAGACAAGCAATTGTGCCACTTTGAAAGGGAAACAATTGCAGCCAACATCCACTTGATTTTAACATATTTCTAGATACAGCGATTGTTTTCTGTTTTGGTTGTAAATCCCCTCGAAACTCGCTTCCGGCGCCGCCCAAACAAATGAAACAAAGATCGCTCGAACTAGTTGCCGGCCATGTACCTCCCGCCTCCGGTTCCGCTTCCACCTCCTGACCCACCTCCCGCGCCTCCCGCGCCTCTGCATCCCTCAGACGGACGGCATGGTAGCTTAGCACCGGCTGGCTTATTGGAAGCGGGTGGGACACAATTGGGAGCGCATGCTTGGCGGCCTCCGGGGACGATTCGAGATGCCGCGACTGTCACCAGCAGGAGAGCCAGTGAAAACCCGATTCCAAGGAATTGGCGCATACTGAATGTGTCTGGTCGAGACAATAGATTCTGGAATGTGGAAATCGGTGAAAAGCTCCCTCAGATGCTGTATCCTAAAACACGGATCGAGAAGAAAGCGTCGCTCACGAGGCTATGTAGACCGAACCCTAAGGCTATCCTTAGCGATCGAGGTTACTATACGCGTAAGAAGTAACTTCTGTAGTTGACTTCTTGGATCGAAAAGATAATGCTCTATGACTGTTCTGAGCAGTGTGAATGCTAGTTAGTGCGATCTGTGATAAAAGTGCGTGATGAATGATGGGGGGGAAGAACTCGTCAGCCCGAAGATGCTGCCTTTATACGCAGAGGACTACGACTTGACTTGCCGGTGGTCTCCACAAACAAGTGAGCCGGCATCTCACAAAGGTTCAGGCGCCGGTATCTCAATACCTAAAGATGATCCACGACTTGTGTAAGGAATGGTGCATTAGCCGAAAAGCACCTTCACATGCTACGCTGGATGGGTCGTCTCACCGCTGTTGCTTTTCAACAGTTTCATTGCCTCAAGTTGTTCGTGCGAGTCCGGTTTCCTGCTGATTTTCCATTCGGGCAAGTGCGAATCCTGATTGGCGCCTTACTTGGAGCTGCACTCGGCACTCATGCCCATCGCGATGGTCAATCGAGATCCTGTTGATTTGCAATGTGGGACGTAATGGGATTCTACTTCGTTACTGGTTCAACCGTTTTTTTTGCTATTGTTTCATTGATGCTTTGAAATTGATTTGCAGTGATCAACCTTGATTTCTTGGGGCCGTATCTTTGCTGAATTGACATGATTACAGCGCATCTTTGCAAATGCCTGCATGTTACATACTCACAATCTCTGTTTCTTATTATCATGTCAGCAGATACGTGCCAAAACAAAGCAATGCATCAATAGGTTTCGGACAAGAACAACGATCTCAAAAATTGAAGGAAAGAAAAAAACATGTGAACTGAAATGCCTTTCTATATCTAGTTTTGAGTGGCACATCTTAAGGGCAAAATCAAGATCAACAGAATGTCGAATATTTGTGGATATGAATATACACATGAAGTTTTCTTTCCAGAAAAATAGGAGGGCACGCTGCCAACATGAGTTAAGGCGACGATTTAGAAGGTACCCACTCAATGTTGGTGGCTTCACCCAACCAAAAATTTTTCAAGGGTGCGGGCAGTTTGACGGCAGTCACCCGATTGTTCTGGTCCAGGATGACGCCATTCTCGATCAGACTGACGATCAGCCGGGGCATTGCTGCGGCGGTTGCATTGAGGGTGTGGACAAAGGCCGGCTTGTCGCTCGCTTTCCGGCCCGTAACTGGCTTGCTCTCTCGGCCACCTTCTGCCGAGTCCTCCGGCCCTGTGCACGGATCGGGACATGGCTGACGTGCTTTCGAGCGGATACCGAGCCTCCGGGATTGGTAATCCGTACAGTTTGAGGCGGAAGAGACCTACGTAGCATACAGAAACACGGTGGTTGAGTGTTGGGAATAAGCTTTCATAGGCAAAAGAAAAACATATCCATCACTCACCTCTCCCCATCGTCCTCGACCTGGCATCCACGTCTCAATATCATACTTGTGATAGGCTGATGCGCCTAACTCCTGACTCGACATTTCCAAGACTCTTTGAGGAATTTTCGATTGATTTGGTGCAGACATCAATTGGAGGGATGATCAGGTGTTGCATGATGACTCGATTTCTTGAAAGAACAAAAACAAATACCTGTAAGGTAAATTTAGACTAGAAACGATTTGAATCTGAAGCTCGAGCATCTTTTGAAGCATCTTTTCACTCGTTGTTAGGTCTGAGCCGGTGATAGCCATCATTTCAACTTTCTTGAACTGGTGGATTCGATATAAGCCTCGACTTTCGCTCCCTCTCGAGCCCGCTTCTGCTCTGTAAGCGGTTCCCAGACTGACGAGTTGGATGGGGTTCAGTGGGAATGTAGGATAGGTCTTGTTGGGGAGGGTTGAGGAGTGAAAGGAGCCCACGAGGGGAATTTCGGCCGTCGCGGCAAGACAGAGGTTGGGGGTCGAGAGGTGTTCTAAGGATCGATCACCTTCCTCTGAGTCGGTCTGGTTGGTCTTGTGGGTTGAGACAAAGTAAGTGTGATTGGATTCGCCCCCGTCCCGGGGAGAAAACCCACATCGATCTGATAGTTCGGTTCGGACGATGTCAGGCCCCAGGGTAAGATTCCAGCCGGACCGGACGGCGAGTGAGATTGCATACTGTGTCAGTGCGAGCTCTAGGAAGGCCCCGTTTCCGACCAGGAAGGGGAACGACGGCCCGGTTGTCTTCTGTCCATCTGAAAACGATAACCACCCAAGCTCAGTCATAACCTTCAGATGGTCCCGGTTTGGGTCGGGTGGGCGAGAAGGCAGTTCGAAGGAGTTGAAGGGCAATGGGTCGGCTGAAAGGGTACAGCCTGAGGATAGAGAGACGATCTCGGATTGCTCGTAGGCCCCGATCGGCACACTGGGGTGAATTTCATTGGGTAGTTGAGTAGCCAAATCCAAGAGGCGCTGTTCCAAGGTGACCCCATCCTTTGATAAGTTTGAGATCGCATCCTTCAGTGTGGCTGCCTCGGAGTGGTAATCCTTTACCTTGGCAGCAAGCTCTAGATTCCCGCCGAGTGATTGATGGAGTGAATCGTTCGACTTCTTGCTTGGCAGCGGAGTGGTACTCAGTAAGAGCTCCTCCTCGTCCTTGGCTCGATTCTGGGAGTTTTCTTTTGTTGCTGGAGTGAGGCTTCCGATGGCCTCCTTGATCTTGTTTCCAAGCGAGTTCTGGCGCTGTTTGGCTTCGACCAATTTCTTGGATAGGTTCTTATATTCCGAGTAGAGATACGCCACGTCCTCGATCGCGTCCGGCGTCAGATGAGACTTCCGGTCGACCAGATTCTTTGCACACGCATTCCTATTGGATGTGATTCGGTTATAATCGATCACCGGCCTGGGTGGATGCGCAGGGACGGAGGTCGCGGATGAGCTGCTTGGCGATGTGGTCGACACCGAGAATCGACGGCGAAGGCAGAGGGAGATCGAAGAATGAAGTTGGGTCATGGTGGTGGTTGAGAGAGAGAAGACACCCACGCCACTCGGACTGGAGCCCTCACTCATTAAGCTGACCCACAACAATCAATGACATCACCCATGTGTATACAACAACCTGGGTCCTGCCAAAGTCAAAGTTCCCTTGCTCAGAAGCGCATTATAAGACTCAGATAAACATATTTATTCAAACCAATGATCCATTTTCAAAGCAATCCAGTTACAATATATGTGAACAATGGATCCCCCCAAGACCATGTAAACACACCAAGCTCCTAAGCACAAGAACCATGCAGCGTCATATGATGATTGACTATGAAGCCTGACACCAGAACAAACCAGTGCCTACCAATTTTGATACCACTTATGATTGACTTGCTCAAATCACTTATTTCCAAATCCAAAAATCGGGGTTGATGTCACAATATTCTAGTCGCTTGGAGGGGTACTAGATGGCTAATAACAAAGATGACCGGTTTTAAACAGCGAGTGGGGCAGATGATATGTGATGGAGCTCCAACAAAACCAGTGATGTGAGATACATAGCATTGCGTTGAGATTACGATCAGACGAGTCAAGCCATATTGAAAAGGGTCGCATTGAGCTCAATAGTGGGTAAATTCAAAGACACTCATACGTGGACAACAAGATGTGTATATACAATGGGTTTCGAAGAAGGTATTTATTGTAGCTGGATTGCTCCCAAACTATCACGAGGAAAAAGCTGGTCTATATACCCTTTCATCACGCCCAACATTTGGCGGATCTCTACCTATGACATGAATCCCACCAATAGGCCTTGGGGCATCTTCATAGGTGCTGCTAAGGTCAGCCATTAACTTCGTTAATAAGGTAGTTTCATGATTAAATAAGAAGAAATGGCGGTGTTCGTTCACCCTTAGCAGCCGGATGGTCTGAAAAGCATGAACATTAACTTGCTCATTATTGGTGTACATCAAATGAAAGAGTAGAGCTATCGCGACTATTCTAGACTGAGAGCAGGGCTCTTCCGACTGTGGCTGTTTTAAAAAGATTGTTCTGATGTTGTCTATTCCAGAGGTAATCGCTCTAGGAAACGGTTCATGCAGTAATGTCTGGTGAAGCTTGCTCAGCGCCGGTTCATGAGATAGGAGTGGCTCGAGAGACGACCATGTGCCTAAAAAGAATCAGACAAGAAAAATCATAAGAAGCCGAAGAAACCTTTTGTTTTTCTTTGATTTTTCTAGAAGAAGTATTACAAATAACGAACGAAATTTTTCACTGAGACCGCTGGCAGGCTTGAAGAGTTCTGAATGCATTTGTTTTTTTCGATAAGATTGAATAATATCAGTACACCCGCCCCAAAAGAAACATTTGTCGATCCGATAAACAACGCACCTTGGTCCCATTCACTCAAGGATGCAAGAGCTGCTTCCAAAGGGCCCAATGATTTCATGATTCCGTCCAAAGTAGTGCGAATTGACTGGGCGAGTTCCGCCTGGTCGAAATTCTTCAAGAGTAGAGTATGAAGACCATAAACGATTGTAGAGCGAACTTTGGAGGTGGCCTGATATTGACGAAGCATTCCAGCCAGTTCTTGAACCCATGCATTCAAAGCTTCCTGCGATATCGACTTATTCCGCAAAAGATATTCGAACAGTTTTTGCGCAAGTACAACCTTAGCATCGTCGTCAATACTATCGAATTTGGTCTTGAAATATTGCATCACTTTGGCATCTGTGGCCATGCAAATTTTGGGAGAAAGAAAGATAACGTGCGGTTAGAACTTGGGTGTAAAAGTCTATACAGCAAAAAACTGGTTAATGGGCGGTGGCGGGGGGGATTCGGATCACCGTGATGCCGATGAAAGCAGAACCATACCTTTTCCTGATTTTTGGATTGAGCTGAAGAATTTACAGCGATTAATAGCTGATGATCCGGTGCCGCGACTGCCACGAGCCCACCATCCAGGCTTAACCGAAGGTTTCTCGAAATCCCTCAAGAAACTGCCCTGTGCAACATCATATGGGCACGAAATGTCCAGACGTGTGCGCTCGAGGGATCCGTTAGTGTCAAGTACGAGCTGGCTTATGGAGACGAAAGCAAATAAGTAATGAGGAAGCCACATGATTGTTCACAGCTTTCTAACAAAATTCCAGAACGATACTGATGAGTAGGCTGCAATGTTGGGGTGATTAAAGAGGTGTGGAAATACTCAACGTTGAGCTCGTATTTATTTATACGCCCCTCAGAAGATCAGGACCTCATCAGGATAGGAATCCGAGCTGCGACTTGTTTCACTTGATTTATTCATCTGAAACAGGAATTAGGATGGAGGAATTGATGGAAATTAATGGTCAGTTTGAGAAGTGATCACTTTACCTTAGTGCGACAATCCATGCTCGTCAGGTGTGACTCTAGATATTAAGCACGTCTTCAATCCTGTCCGTTTGATCTAAGGTTGATATTTGGGCCGGGTGTCCAATAGGCCGCCCAAACCCGGCCGGGCTTGGGTCGGGCGCGGACAGTGCTTTTGTGAAATATTTGGACTTTGGCCCGGCCTGTTAAAGTCACTAAACGGCGCGGGTCGGCGCGGGCTGGTCTAGCGGGTGCCCGCAGGCTTGAATGTTCCGGCAGGATACTGCTATGAGCTGTGACTTGGCATCGGAATCAGCCTTTTCCACTGGTGGTCATGTTTTGGACGACTACCAAAGCCGACTGAACAAAGATACCGCTGAGGCACTCTTGTGCTCTCAGGATTGGATGAAGGCGATGTAGTCCGTTCATCCTCTATGTAGCTTTGTTCTCTTGTTTTTTTTGTCTCCGCTTCTCCCTCAAGCTTTTGTAGACTGTAGTAAACGTGAAAAACTTCTTTTTTGTGCCTCAAACAACCCAGCCCGTGGGCTCCTGGTGGGCTGCCCATGGGTCACCCGCATAGCCCACCGGCCAGTAGCCCCAGCGGGGCGCCGCTGGACAGCCCGTGTCCGCCACATTGCGGACACGGACTTGGGTCGGACATCAAAATCTCATGTTTTTACCCGGCCCGGCCTGCCCAATTAAGTCGCGGGTAGAGCCGGGCTAGCCTGTGGGCGGCCCAAACCCGCCCGATTATCATCCCTAGTTTGATCCTCATCTGGATGTCAGGAATTGGGGTATGTTATAACTTATACGCATCTACATAATGTTCCAAAGTTAAATGATATTCAAAGGCCCCTTGAGGCTTATGTATGCTTGAAGCTGCTTAAGAAGTATCTCAAAATGCACGCCGTATCGAAACGAGTCACTTCACTTACCGCTCCATGTGTGTGGAATCCTTCATTGGCGTGGTGTCAACTTGGAAGGTAAAAGCGCAGAAGATGCGGCATGCTTGAATGGGAACTTGTTCATGGACGTTCTCACTGTCTCACAAGGACTCATCATGAATGATATGTAGTGAGAATTCTTGCTGCACTGCATCGTGATGAAATGAAAGAATTTTTTCTTGGTCTGTTCATTCCCTTTGGGACATGAGTATTCTCAGGTTAAGACCTACCAAAGAACAAAAAAATATGATAAACTAACAGATATGAGTTCATAACCAACCAACTTCTATTGGGGTTTGTGATTAAATTCTTTAAATCCTGACTCTGTGGTTATCTTAATACTTTCAAGAGATTGAGATTATTGAGCTTTCCGGGGTCATGGAGGTTTCAGGGGAAGTCTGCACAATCCAAGAGCCTATTACTAGTATTTCAACAAACCTGGTAAGACATATTGTTGGTCTTGGCTCAATTTGGGTGACCCTATAAAAAGCCATACTCAAACTCATAACTACCGATGGTATTGCTGCTCACATTTTCATGCCACCCTTGCTACCTGACTGAATTTTGATGCAGATAGAAATCCTTCATGAAGGCTTTGAGATTGTGGTAATTTTGTAGGCTTTAGAACAGAAACATAGCCAGCAATTTCAATTTGTGTTGGCCTTACTTTAGCAATTGATACAGACACAGACACTAAGGTTTCTGCCATCAATGTAATCAGGACCTGTATGCCCTTTTCACTGCCCAATTATTTTGAAGCTTGTCTGGGTTCATCATCATGTTTTTCAATTTTCAATTGATTTAGAGAATCAATGCAGTCTCAGATCATTTAGTCTGGATTCAAACAGTAACTTCATCCAGAAATAAGATAAAATTCTCCAATGGACCAGTCAAAAACACCACCAAGACAGAAACAAACATGGCTTTGGAAAGTAGCATCCCAAGAATGAGTTCCAAGATTCTCAATCAATCAATACTAGAAATCTCACCTTGCTATCCCTTGTGGTCTCCTCCAGCCCTCCAATGACTCTTGATTCCCTCCTGATCAAAGTTCACCCCTTTTGAATATTTGGAGTGTTTGGAACATCTTCAATCTCCTTCAGTAAGGCAAGCAGCCTCTGAGTAACCCGCCAATTTTGTGACTACCATGTGCAAGCAGTGACTTGGTATAACCAGACTACACATTAATGGCTATATCAAACATCTCACAATCAACTTGTCAAACAGGACCAGAATGGTTGTATTATCTCACTTTTCAAATGAAGCTTCTTTTCATAGCTTATTTCATGAGAACTCCCAAATTCCCTAGTAGCTAAACCCCATTCGCTCTTCAACTTGGACCCTATTTGGATTGCTCCCTGGCCATTGATTGGGTTGTTGATCCGGAAGAACTCAGTAGAAAAGTACTGGTTTCAAAACGCGGGAGTTTCTAGTTTTCGAGTCTCAGAAAAAGAGAAGACCACTTTGTCTTGGATTGATTTGATAATGCCAATCTTGTTTCTCTCAGATACGTCTCAGTAGTAATGGCGGGTTGCTTTATGGCGACTTCTGATTGGCTATTATACTTGACCGTGATTGGGATGTTAAAATCAAAAGAGGTTATTGAAGGAATGTTAACAATTGGGGAGACTGTGGGTAAAAGAATGAGTTGATGCTACTTTGATAAAGTACAAGGACTAAGTGGGTCTGATAACATGGGAGTAATGATGCTAAAACATGACTGTATTGACCATATGATAAGCTGAATCAAGTTGTGACGGGGGGGTCAATTCAGGTCTATTGACGGGTCGTTCCAAGTCGAAGCAAGTTGGAAATCGGGAGCCATGGTCACGTGTAGGTTGGTGGAAGAGTGGCACTGTGTTTCACCCGTATGTATTAAAAATCCATCCATCCTTCGCTGCTGCTAGCGTTGTCGGGTGGTGGGGCTGGAGTGAGAATTGTAGTCCTGCCATTCAAATTGTGAGGCCTCACATCACGGGCCTGGGGGTCGCGTAAGTCATTCAATAATTTCTCGATCAGTGATTCTTCATTCTTGAATAAGAAAAATTCGCCATGTTTGTTCGAGATTAATGACTCCATGAGACTTTTGACATGATCATTAATTGGCCGTTGGTCTGTATACAGCAGATGATAGAGTATAGCTATCGCAGCTACCCTAGTTTGAGAAGAGAGGTCAGTCGGTGGGCTCTTGGAGAAGATTTCTTGGATAATCCTGTCTAGGTTGGTGGTGATGTATTTAGCCTGCTTATTTGATATCGCCCATGCAAGCTTGCCCAACCTCTGTTCCGCTCCCAACAAGCGCTCGAGTTGCTCCCATGTACCTAAACCACAGTCAAATTTGTGTTATACAAAAACAAAATCAGGATCCAAATGCAAATCGAAATTTGACATCTTGAATGACTAACGAAAAGTGGAAGTAAACCCGGAGGAAGGGCGATATAGCTCTGCAGGAGGATAAGTTTCCAATCTTAATCAGTATCTGGGACAAAAAAGAACAACTTGTTTTGATTGCTACATAGAAACACACCGTGTATCCATCGTCCCACTTCATACGGCAAGGCGTTTATTGAGGCGAGTTGATTCTTCAAGAGACGATTTAATTTGTTGACGAGACGATGATCACTGTGATTCTTTAGAAGCAGAGTTTGAAGGCAGTAAATGTATGAAGAAATAATGGGTTGAGGGGCGTCATATCTCGAAAAGCTGCTCTTGATCTCTTTGCACCATTCATATAGTTGTCGCGAAGATATAGAATTATCGAGTCGAAGGTAATCTATCAATTTCTGAGTCAGTTCAACCTTCTGACGTTGGTTGAACGTCCTGGATCGCATTTGTCTTGTGAAATAGTTCACTGCTTGCTTGTGAGGATCTGTAACAACTTCGACTTGAGAAATCAAATTCAAACGAGGTACATAAGCCGGATTCAGCTGATACAAAAAAGAAATGACAGTGCAATTCTAGGATCTTATAAACGGTCCATGGATGGGTCCGTCGAAGATTAGAAGCCTTATAAGCGAGGTAAAAACACGCACCTGAGGTGGACCTTGGAGATGATCCAAAACAATTCCAACAACTTGACTGACCAGCCGGGGAGTCAACAACCTCGGTCGGAGTTGGATGACTCCTGAAATCCTGCATAAAGCTACCCTCGAGTTTGTCCGGAAGCCAGAGCTTTGGTGCAGAGTCGCTGAGCCGTGCATCGGTGCGAAGCACAAGCTGGCTAATGGAGACGAAAACGAATAAGGATTGATGAAGCCACATGATTGGTTAAGGTTTATTGGTCGTGTGGGACTTAATGGCCCAACGATCTGGGACCTTTATCATGTTTGGCAGACGGGAGCCACTGCTCAGACTGGCGTGTTGGAAGCCCAATCAGAATTCAAGCTGAAACCTGGTGAAACTTGTATTATCTTCCTTCGAAACGCAGATGGAATGTAAAAGAATCTCGAGCAATGGATCAAATTGGGCAAATGATGTGATTGTATCCCATTCCCAATGCGAGCTTGACTTGCACCGGTGTAAATCGTGGATCATGATGGGTAAAATGGCAGCATGCCATGCGGCTTCATGCTGATAAGGAGCGTAGGAAGTGTTGTCTTCTCGTCTCTGCTCCCCTCTTGGGCCATCGCGATGGCTTCTGCCAAAGATTAGCAATGTCAAACGAATATGATTCATTCTCATTTCTACTCGTAGTCGTACTATGTAATATTTGTAGGGGTTCCAAAGGAAGACCAATCGGTTATCACCCATACATGTATCCGGGGGTGCTCAAGTTTTGGGAACCTCTTAAATCTGCAGCTGAAACCCAACTCTCCAATTAACGGCAGGATGCTTGAAGAGGAAAGAAGAAAGAAGCGACTTGCACTGCACACGAGCCGGGTCTCTCCTTAGGCCCCATTTATAAACGATATTTTGAAAATGTTTTGAAAATGTTTTGAAACGCTTTTGAAAGTTTTTTTTTGAACTTAAAGTGGAGGACTTCCCGTCAACATCTGCGGGCCTCCCAGAGCCGGTTTAGAGCCTCAAAATTCAAATCTCCCTGCGAGAATTAAAAGTTTTTGGCTCTAGATCGACTTCTGCGAGGGTCCCAGATCTGACGGGAACGCTTTTTGTATTTCAAATACTTTTCAAAATGTTTTCAGAAGCTGGGAGTGGAGGACTTCCCGTGCGAACTGGAGCCCTCGCAGAAGTCGATCTAGACTCGAAAACTCTAGATTCTCGCAGGGGAATTTGGTTTTCGAGGCTCTAGATCGGTTCTGGGGGACTCGCAGATTCCGACGGGAAGTCCTCCTCTGAGGACTTCCCGTGCGAACTGGAGCCCTCGCAGAAGTCGATCTAGACTCGAAAACTCTAGATTCTCGCAGGGGAATTTGGTTTTCGAGGCTCTAGATCGGTTCTGGGGGACTCGCAGATTCCGACGGGAAGTCCTCCAGTAGTTATAAACCCAGTAGCACAATCATGGTAATGAAAACAATTTCGTCAATTGTATTGAGTCCGCGCAAGCGGAGAGACAAGGCTTTGTATTATTTCAAGGCTTAACACAAAATGCTACCCCCTAATCTGGACGACGATGACTCTCTGGCATTTTCTCTTTGTCCAATGATGTCAGGAGCGCAACATGGTTTATATTCGAGCGGGGCGTGAGGTGTTCAAGCTTCCGGATCGCTGGGAACCATGGAAAGACGAACGAATACCTGCGGCCAGGTTTGTCGAGCTCTTCCGTATGTCTCTGGCCGACTTCAACTGGTTCTCATGGGACGATCTACAGCAAGACCCACTTGGACTTGGTGAACCTTTGACTGTGGAAGCCCCAAGTTGCCGTTGGTCTTAACCATCTGGGGCATGGGAGTAGCTATGTAACGATCAAACGGTTTTCAACCGTTCTCTTTCAAAAGTTGTATGATCGAGGAGATAAATTTTCTGATTGCTCAAAACTCCTCGTTGAGGACTTTTGAAGCGCTTTTGAAGCGCTTTTGAAGCAAAAAAAAGTTCAAAATCAAAGCCAACTTTGAACTTCAAAATTCTTTCAAAAGTTTTTCAAAATAATTTCAAAATACTGTTTATAAATGGGGCCTTAATGTCACACATTTCTCAGCTCCACATCGCATGATGTCTTTGCGTGGCTCCAGTCTGTTTGTAATTTATATCAGGCTTGGCTGCCATGCTGCATCGACCATTAACTGGTCAATCGAGCCCTCTCGAGCTGCTGAGCAGACATGCAAGCTGAGCTCTTAAGAAGGTATCGGCCTCCCCCCCGTCCGGGGTACGTTGAAGCTGAGGTTCGGCACCGGCATCCTCAGCTCGTTCCTCAGCCCACGAAGCATCTCAGATGATGTGAGTCACCCCTGGAGTATCCGATCCTTTGCAGGATGACTGTAAATCGTCTGAGCAGCGAACTCATCAATGCCTATTTGGATTGATAACTAATCGCACGCGACATTCAGTCTACATGTTATGGAGTCGGACTGATCCGCTGTTTCCGCTCAGCGACAGAGTCCGGAAGACATTCTTTTCGGGGATCGGATACTTGCCAGAACCGAGTCAGGGTGCGTGAAAGCCAGGTGTGTTTATATCTGAGCAGTTGTAGTCACCGTGTCTTGGGCTTTCCTGTGATGGTCTGCCATACCGAGTCATTGGGACTATGTTTTTATAACAGATGGGGGGGGATTGGAATGGCTTGATGGATTACCATCCAGCGCCAACCGAATTTGGATGGCTAGATCTTATAAGGCATCGGTGGTTGGTGTTGGGTTGCGGATGGTCTTCGGAGTGTGTAGTGGGACGGTGGGGAGGAAAGAGGATGAGTTGATTGATTTGATGGTTTTTTGGGATCTGCAAGAAGCTAGAGCCTAGGATCAGGCTAATCGCGAAGAAGCTGCAGTGATGGTTGCCTGGATGATTGATGAGTTTGATTTATTAATATTCTAAAAAAACAAGTTGAGATTATTTGGGCCTGAATGTTTCCATGATCGCTAAGCTGGGGTTGACGACCGGACAACGATGGAGCTAGTAAGAAATGAGATGCCGAAGCTCGGTATCGTTGTGGATGGTGTATTAGTCATGCGGCACCAGTGCCGGGTCTCTGATCGACTGTGAATGGTTTCCGGTCGTCAACTTGTGCGTCCATCACGACCACACAGGATTGATTGCCCATGAGAACTGTCTCCACCATCGATTAGGGCCTCACGAGCTTGAGTTGCGATCGGATGACTGGACTGCTTGTTCAAGTCATTTTGGCCGATGACTGATCAGTAAGTATCTTTCCTTAACACTTATCAAGCGTTAATCGACCTCTGGAGACTCAAGTCAAGCTACACCACATCATCATCAAGGATAAATCGTACAATTCTAAGAAGACTGTTTTCTTGGGTGTGCTTGGTTTTTTCATTGCACACACACACACACACTTGCAGCTTACACACCTCAAGAACATCACCGCACTCCAAACTATCCCCAAACCAGACTGGCGTCGAGCGCTGGGCTGGACAGTCCCCCGAAGCACTTGGCAGCTTGATCATCATCATCCTCATCATCATCCTCAGTCGAAAGCTACATCCCAGCCAGAAGACCCATCATCCCAACCAGGCTATCCGTCCCATCGTCATCAGCCAAGACGCGACAGAAGCAGTCAGTCCCGATACCACGTCAAAAAACGAGCGGAAGCGGCGAATACTCAGCCTGAGCTTGACGACTGACCGGCTCTCCGTCTTCGTCCTGGCTGGAAGCAATCAAGCCTAAATCGGCTGACCCCTCCAATCCGTCCAATCACTCCCACATCAGCCAGCTCGGCGGAGTGAGGACTGGCTATTATCACTCTCCGTGGCCTGGTATCCGGTCCGTCTCCCTTTTTCACCGCTCCAGCTTGACTCTCAACAACAACCAAGACCACCAAGACCACCCAACACCAACAACCAACCTTAACAACAGCAGACAACCAACTTGACAACAAGCCCATCAAGCACCATTTCATTAGTCAAAAAAAAAATAAAAAAAAATAAACTCGTGGCTTCCTCTTCTTTTTCTCGCTCTCATATATAACCATCAAACCTTCGCCAATCTACTGTTCGATTATTCCTTCATATCACTCAGCTTGAGTGCTTCAATCCATCCAGCCAACCAAGCTCAACTTTTACCCACCCCTAACACATTTTAAATAATTATATACCTTTTCTC